TATCCATCTATGTGCTTATAGTTCTAAGTTGCTTGGGGACAAGCAACGGTTTAAGTTTGGGGAGATTTGATAGGTCGAAAAATGTGCATATTTTATATATTTAATAGTGTATTCTTATACACTAAATTTATTCGCATATTTATATTTTTTGACATATTTATTATTTGGATAGATTCATATACATTGATATTTTTATATTTAATTTTTCAGCTCATTGAAGTATTTTGTGTACGCGAAACAATGGATGAAAATTCACGTGAGACATTGTCGTGCGGCTTAATACCCGAGAATGAAGGGCCACGTATGGATTAATGTGGCTGGATTGTTTAGAAATTAAAAGCCCAATAGTGGAGCTGGTTACGTGGGAATTGAAAGAAAAAAAATATAGTTTGAATGGATTTGGAAGAGTTGTGCTTCCTGGACACTCACGAATTGGAGGGCCACAGTATTATGAAGGCTGGACACATTTATTCTTGGAGGGGATATATATATATATATATTTGTGAAGAGTTCAATTTCCTACATGACTTTGGGCTTGTTGAATTTTATGGGCCGACCAAGCATTAAAAAAAAAAAAGAAGAAAGCGGTAGGATTTGGATTTATTGGGCAAGAGCATTAAGGGCAGCGACGGTGGGACTTATAATTGGGGAGGACTCATTGGCGAAAGGGAAATTATTATTTTGTTTTTGAGAAAATCGTGAGCAGCGGGCAGAAAAGAACTCGAACAGCAGCACTTACGCACGAACGAGAGAGAAGATTACACACGCGGAGGGAAGCCGCATCCGCACACGAGGGAGATCTTTATTCTCTCTTTTATCTTTTATTTATTTTTCTTAGTATGCTAGACTAGATTTTTATCCAGTTTGAGGGGATGTTTGAACCCTAATTTCGATTTGTCTATGAATTGGATGATCTATTTCTTCGTTGGTTAATTGAGACGTCGTATTTATTTTTGTTGATGAGTTGATTTACGTTATCTGTGTTTAATGTTTATGAATTATGATGTTTGACTTAGTTTGGCCGACTACGTAGAATGTTCATAGTTTAATTGCTAGATTCAGGACTTTAATCTGTAATTGTTATTGTCTTGTTTCGTTAGTAGTAAACTAGGGGTCGTGCATCCTTAGGGTAGCGTGAACATAAGTTAAATGGTCCGAGCTTGCGCGTCCATTGCTTAGACTGATCTATTTTCCTAGTGAGTAATGCTGCTAGTGAATTAAATCTAGAGAGCTTATTATAGGTTGTCCGCTAGTTAGGCTTGGTCGAAGAGCTTATTTTGACTAAATATTTTATAAGGGAAAATTCGGTTAACAGAGCTTGTTGTTAGCTAGGGTCGGTAATTCATTAGCAATTTAAAGAAAGCGTCGAGATTAATTAGCGGTAGATTTATATTGGATGATAACTGAACCGAAAACTGGATTTCTTTCATTATTTGATTTTTATTTCATTTTCTTTTGTCATTTTTATAAAACCAACCCCCCATTTATTTGCTTTCTTAGTTTAGTTCGATTAATATGAAAATTGTCACGACTTAATTCCTGCTCCTCGTGGGATCGACCCTTACTCGCCGCTACTACTAGTTAGTAGAGGTTAGTCAAGGTAAAATTATAAATTTAAATTTGCCGCGTCGCGACGCGCGGTCACACAACGAGTTCTAACTCGCCACCGGCGAGAATGCACAGCTGCACACTCGTTGCGAACTTCATCTCGCAACCCCGCGAGCACGACAACTCCTCACGTCCAGGAAACACTCGCAGCGAAGGATATTACAATCAAGGAGGTATCTACTTATATTCGGTCATCTGAAGTCTAAGGCTCAATGGTAAATATTTTTCATAGCCTGAGAGTCCTCTGAGACACTTGTTGCATCTGAGACACTATACGACATGGACAACACAACTTATCCGACATCTTCTAATTCATATGGTTCTCCCAACAACTGAAAGCAAGTTCCAGCCTCCAAAGTGGAAAAAGTATTTGTTCAGTCGCTTCTGACGAGACGTAAATCTCATTCATGCTAATAAAATAAATTCTTAGATTCCAACTTGAAAAGAAAGATTGTGCACCCGCTTCCAATTATAACATCTATGATTATGCAAACAAATTACAACTACCACACACACACACACACTCATTCTTTCCACTACTCACTCACAGTGTAATAATCAACTTCAATCAAATCTTCACTGATCCGCGATGTCATGTCGTATGTGGCGAAGCACCACCGAGATTGTGACCTCCGGCGAGCTGAGGTGCGGCAGGTGACCCTCGGTCGGCATCACCTCCACAACCGATGGACCTCCCAAGTTCTTGCGGAGGTACTCCCCCACCGCAACTGGGACCATAAAGTCATTGGAGCTCAGGATGATGTGGCACGGGACTGTGACGTGGCCGAGATAGGGCCTCAGTTCGAGCCCGAATATCATGCGGGCCATGGAGCAAGAAATATCGGGCCTCATGTTGAGTAGGGTCCTACAATACTCCTACACGGCCGCTGATTCCAGGTCACAAGCCAATAAAAGCGGCGCAGATCCCAACGCCACCACCTGTAGTTCTCCTCCATCGACCCCACCACCTCATCTATCTCCTTCTGCTCAAATCCACCATAATAGTCCTCTGTGTTGATTAAGTTGGTTTTTGGTTAGGCCTTGAACGGAAAAGGTGTTAATGGTGGAGTAGAATTCTCGGATAAAGTTTAAGGTATCCTCTTGGGCTAGGTCGTAGAATGAGGGAAGTTGGTTTAGGTGGATGGTTTTGAGGTCGTAATTTCGGGCCGCCTCCCCGAGCTTGAGACATGAAGTGTTGTCTCCAATGATAGGTCGTGCAAAACATCTCATGTTCGGGGGAGGTTGTGGAAGTTGTCCTCCTTGGTCCGCCATTAGTTCGGGTTCGGGTTGCGGTTGCGGTTCTTCGATATTAAGTTCAACGAAAAGATCGATTGATGGTGTCTCTTCTACGGGTGCACGCCTTTGTCTACCTCGCATAAACACAAACAACAACTATACCCGTGAACGCACCAATGAAAAACAAGGTCAAGTCAAGGTGAACAAACACAAACTACCTAGAAAATCAAGAGAAATATAGAGAAATACGGAAATTAAGCAAAATTCACACAAACAAAGAGAAACACGAGAAAAAGGAACAATCAAATAGCAAATTAGGCGTCCTATCTACCTTCCCCGGCAACTACCCACATTTGTTTAGTAGAGTTTTGGTGAGCAAAGAATAACCGAGTTACCCGACTCGGGTCGTTCTCAAAGGAAGGCGCTTCGGAGCTTTATCTACTACTTGATTGTCCAAATCACAAAAAGAGAAAATAAAATCCTAAACATGCTAATTAATTGGTTTAAGATTGGATTTAACACTAAGAGAGTAATTAACTAAGAGCAATATCAAATCACGAGCAAATAACGAAGCTAGACCATCGGAGTCTCATGTCATCAACACAACGAGATGATAATCAACGACAAAGAGGAATAAACGAGCTATGAGCACTATATCATTAACCCTAGCCTTCTAACCCTAAGTAATTAAGCTTTAATTGGGTCTTAACCCTTAACCGAGATCGACAAGCAATTAATCTCTATAACTACTCAAGCAAGCATCCAAAGCAATCAAGTCCAAACATTCCCTCCATCATCAATCATACTCAAATTTACCCTAATAAGCATTATAAGTAAAAACGAATCACAAATCGAAGTAAAGAGCTTTAAAACTAAATACCCATTCTTCTATTGCGTAGATGATGAAAAACGGAGTCAAAAGCTCGAAACTTTAAAGAAACCAAAGTCGCCGAAAAACCTCCCGGAAATGGACCGGTCGACACTAAAACAAACCTAAACCCTAAACTCGATAACACACATAAACACATAAAAATAAACACAAAAACACAACAAACAATTTTTTATTTGTGATCGCGTTAGTTTTTGTTTTTTTAAACTAAACTCACACGTTTTATTATAAACGAACCGAGGTTTGGCGGAGTTTATTCCCCTACAGAGCCAGAGAAATAAATGGGGAGGTCAAATCTTTACAAGTCCATAGTACTACAAGTCCATAGTGTCTCGTTTTTTATATTTCTCGTATTGCGCCTAATCCGCTGCTTTTTTTTTTTCAGAAGAGTTGGTTTAAATGTGGAGGCAAGGGGGATGGGGAGAGAAAACGATGATTGGTTTTTTACAATAATTAATTTGAGGCGACAGAGTGGTTTGGGTGCGACTTCCCTCCGCGGTATGTAATTCTCTTCCCTGTCTATGCCGTCTTCTCTTTTGTGCGTGTCTTTTTTTCTGTCCTCTGTTTTTCTTTTCTTTTCTTTTATTTTTTCTTTCTTCTCTGCTCACGATAAAAAAATCCTCCCTACTCATACTGATCCTCGCAAATAATAAATTCTCTGCGGCCCACCTATACAATTCTTGGAGTTCTTCTTCAAATAAGCCCAATTTGTTCTATGGATAATAAAATATCTTCCCAGCTCAAATTAATCCAAGTCAAGTTTCACTTTGGGCTGCGGGAATGGACTGAAATTCGGCCAGTATGGTGCGTTGAACAATTGATCGCGTGTACAATGCTTCGCCTTCACAAAATACTCTCAAAATTTTAAAAATAAATATAAAAAAATCAACGTATGTGAATCCATCCAAATAATAAATAAGTAGAAAAATATATACATGCGAATAAATTAAGTGTATAAAAATACATTATTAAACATTTAAAACGTGCACGTTTTTCGACCTATCAGCACAACTTATCCTACATGCATCTTCCAATTCAGATGTTTCTCCCAACAACTGAAAGCAAGTTCCGGCCTCCAAAGCTGAAAAAGTATTTGTTCAGGGAGACCTGAATGTCATTCATGCTAAGAACATAAATTCTTAGATTCCAACTTGAAAAGAAAGATTGGGTAGCCGCTTCCAACTATAACATCTATCATTACGCAAACAAATTACAATTACCACACACACACACTCATTCTTTCCACTACTCACTCACAGTGTAACAATCAACCAATCAAATCTTCACTGATCCGCGATGTCGTGTCGTATGTGGCGAAGCACCACCGGGATTGTGACCTCCGGCGCGCTGAGGTGCGGCAGGTGACCCTCGGTCGGCATCACCTCCACAACCGATGGACCTCCCAAGTTCTTGCTGAGGTACTCCACTACCGCAACTGGGACCATAACGTCATTGGAGCTCTGGAGGATGTGGCACGGGACTGTGACGTGGCAGAGGTAGGGCCTCAGGTCGAGCCCGAATATCATGCGGGCCATGCAGCAAGAAATATCGGGCCTCATGTTGAACAGGGTCCTACAGTACTCCTGCACGGCCACTGATTCCAGGTCACAAGCCAATAAAAGCGGCGCAGATCCCAACGCCATCGACCTGTAGTTCTCCTCCATCGACCCCACCACCTCATCTATCTCCTTCTGCTCAAGTCCACCGTAATAGTCCTCGGTGTTTGCTAACCTATATATAGTCATCTCAAAACATGTGAGAAGCTCGACGAGAAGAAAAAACGAGAAATAGTTAATTAGTTACCTTGGGGACGGCGAAATCATGATGAGCTTGTGAAACAAGTCCGGTCTGAAAATAGATGCCACGGCAGCAGCCATGGCCGACATGGAGTGGCCCACGAAAATGCACTTACTGACGTGGAACTCGTCCAGAATGGCGATGAGATCGTAGGAGTAGCCTTCCAAGCTGGAATAACGCTCGAAATCGAAGTAGTCGGGATTGGTGGTCCCCGCGCCCATATTGTCGTAGAGGAGGACTTTGTAGTCGTCCACCAAGTGTGGGACGAAGAGCTTCCACACGGATTGGTCGGTGCCGTAACCATGGCTGAGGACAACGGTGGTCTCCCCCGACCCTAAAATCGTCACGTTGTGGGCTGATCCAACACTATTGTTCATCTTTACTTATTATGATAATATTATGAATTCCTTTTTTGTGTGTTAATTAGAGTTATGGCCGCCGGGTGTTTCTTTTATAGTAGGTGGTATATCCTTATTTTTTTTTTTTTGGTACAGGGACCTTCCGGTTTCGGATCCACAGAAGAACCGACTAATCCGGAATCGATTCGGGTAGGACCACAAGAGCGGCAAAACATCTTATTTTAAGACATCTTGATGGCGCGTGGTGGTATCTGAAATCAACCAACCTCTGTCTGGATTATTTAATCTCTTGTGATCCGATTTTGGAGGGAATTAAGTAACTGGATTAGAAGATGAAGACGTCTTGCTGGATTCAATTTTATGTATTTATTGGGAATATGCATTGACTGATGCGGATCTACTGTTAGAAAATCATATCCAAATTGTTTCATTACTTTACATAAATGAGATAAGTGCCATGGGATATAAAAAAATATTTCTTCTGAAAATCATATTCAATTTAGTTTTCAATTGTCTTAGTAAAAGAAAGTGAGATCAAATGAATAATATATTTTTCGATTTCTTTATTTTTATTTTTATTTGACTAATTACAACGGACAAACAAAAAGCACGAGACCTAAAGAACAAACACGGACCTACAACACAAACCAAAAACGAAACAAAACCAAAACAAGCTCTAAAAGAAACAAACGAAACAAATGAGCCCTTCCCAAGCAGCAAGACCAAGCGGAGCCAACGGAACCAAGTCAACCCAAAGTGCATCCCACAGCCAAAGAAGACCCACTCCGAAACTGCCCAACACACACTTGGTGGCCTAGAGAAGTCGAAGTCAAAGCCCCAGAACAACACCTCATGTCAAACTCAAACCACAACCGCAACACCTATCCGCCAGGGAACCGCAACTGGACCGAACTTTCTATCACCACTAGTGAGTCCTAGTCCGACAGTACCCGGTGAACCCCCGTGCCACAGAGCATG